TTTACAGTATGAATCAACATCAAAGTTTGGAGTTGTTTCAGTTTAATTAGACTGACCTTTCTGCCTCAAATCAGTGACTCGAGAACCCTTTTAAATGGAAATCTGGCTGTTAAAGAGATACTTGAATACAGAAGGACATAGACAAAATATTCACGTTATAGAGCAATTTAAAGTAGTTCATATCAGTTAATGACCAATGTATGACTACTTACAATCACCTTTGTCTACTGTAAAGGTTGGTAACACTACCATTTCACAATTATCTGCAGTCTGAAACAATAAGGCTTCTCATTTTTCAAAACTCCTATCGACTGAGCTGCAGACATTATACAGAGAGGAAGAAGGCGGGGATCTCTTTATGTTCTTGTGGTTTATAATAATAGACATATAAAGGTTTATAGCATTTCCACATTTTTTGTTATAAGAGAGGATCTTGTCAAATAGCAGGTGGTCAACAGAATAGCTATCAATAATTAATATCATTTACACTTAGTGCATTGGAATAGGTTCATACTTTAGGATGCCTGAGTGTGCCGTGTTCAGTAGATTGCTCTCATATTCCATCACTGCAGCCCTGGGGAACACGAGGCTGACTTTGTGAATAGGAAGTTGTTCCATAGCCTCAAGGTGATTACACAATATTGTACCAGTGAAAATGCCTACTGTGCCTTAATAACATGGCACAACAGTTAAACTGTCACTGCAAGAGGTTTGTGTGTTTACATTTACTCATCCTAATAGTTTGTTCTTCTTTAGAGGAGTGAATAAATGATAGTAATAGTACCTTTATTTCTCTCTTTCTTCAGACCCTGGTCCCTGAATGTACTGTAGCATCAGTTACAGGGTGATAATGAGAGACTGAATAATTTAATGAGTGAAGCTAAGAACACCAGAGTATGGGTTAATTAAGGGACACCAGGTTTTATTGCAAATACAGTCAACCTAAAGGTAGATGAAGAAGGCAGAAATTGTCCATACATATGGTAGGATGAGCCATCCCTTGCCTGTACACTGCTACATGTCCATGTACCATATCTACTGCCGTTGATTGACATTTTAAGACAGTGTGTGCATAAATAAAGCCACCATGAAATATGTTGAAACCATTGAAATAAATATTTCCCCTTTGATTTCAGCCAAAACTTGCAAGACAACAACTAGTTCTCTGTAATCGTGCATGATTAGAGAGGTTTCTTGTGGTACCATGATAATAAGTGGGGCACATAACATGAAGGAATTCACTAAAAAGCACACGGTGCATTTTAACAAACTTTTCCTTTCATTGTGAACTTGAATACATGCTTGAAATGGTGCTGGTTCAATTAAAAACTATTATTGTCAGGTTAAAAGCATTTCATACAAATAATATATATGATTTTACATTTATTTGAAGTTGCATGAAGATGCATTTTGAAAAATGGCCACTGAGAGGCAGATGGACATCAAACATATCCTCTAACAAAGCTTTTTAGTACAATTATAGTTTGGAGTTTAAGTTACTTTTGAAAACAGAATATTGGGTATTGGATAACAACATTTCAATTTTAAATATGTACAAAATATCCTGTATTTAACTTTTAAGAACACTGACCCCTGAAAAGTCTTCTAGAAACAACACATAGAGGGGAAATACTACTGCAGATCCAGTATTTCTGCCTAAATTAGTCGCTAATTATTCTGTGTATCATTGTTGTTTTTGAATATTCTTTCATCTTCAAACAAAAAATAATTCTCCCCCCGGTGTTATAGAATATGAACAATTTGGGTCAGTTGCCTGCCTTAGCTTTCATCTGTAGGTGTCAGTATTGCTGGAGAGATGGACTTCTGGAGGAGGGAGTGAGGTGTGACTGAATGAGTTCTCCAGTCTACAGACAGATGGAGCCCGTCGCACAGATGCCGACAGACTCCTTCTTCTTAGACAACATTAAAATAGACAACTCTTTGTTCAAATGGAGAACAAGTTCACATGTTATCCATTATCCAACCCTCTGTGTATCCTTGAATCCCTGCCAACTTAAAATTCCAGAATTTCAAGCGCAAGGCAGATTTTTGTATTGTTGTTTGTTCCGTTTAGTTTTTTTTTTTTTCTCAGTCATTGGTCAGCTGCTTGCTTTCCTTTCCCTTTAACTTGATAGCAGACGGTTAGTCTGCTTTCCATGCCAAATATGTTTCAACATAGTTTGCTCCTGCCAATAAATGAGGATGTTTATGACTTAGCTGAGTTAAACTTGAGTGGTAAGGGTGGTGACTGAGTAATATTGTGTGGCTGTGCAGTTTATGGCCAGAGATTTCCAGGAACATGTTTAAGGATTTTATTTTGTCTGACGGGAAAGATTCAAAACGTTTAACAGTCCCTGTTGGTTCACTTCCTGGGTGAATGGGCTATTTCATTATATGCTAAAATAATGGAATCGTCAGTTAACACCTCTGTTAGCAGAAACCAAGTCAAAACACAGCTTACATATTAAGATATTTAAGAAAAACTTTATTTGTGACTTATTAACAAAACACATACCAGGTCGATTAAATCATAAGAATCACTATTATCACCTTTACAATGATAAGCAGGTGTACAAAAAAGTTATTAACAGATCTGCACTGTCACAGTCTACTGGTATGTGCCACTCACTGCCACACCCAGTGACTGAAGAACATTCACTATACACAAGCAGAGAATACATCAACTTTATTTTTTTTAATACCATTTTATGTATTTAGATTTTTTTTTATCCTTTTTCTTTATTTCTCTACCGGGCAAGGGATACATATGGAGGGTGAGTAAATGATTTGATTCCACAATAGTGTTTGTTTGATCATCATTTCAAAGATCAACACAACTTTAAGGATTGATTTTCTTATCTATGGAAATCATGAGGGTAAAACCAGAAAATAAAAGCATTTCATAGCATAACACAATAGCATTATGTATATCTAGAAGATTAAATTCATTTTCAACAGGATAAAAAATGTGATTCTTTTAGGTTTTTCCACAAATTACTGTTCGCAATAGTGTATATGTACGTGTGTGTGGATTAGCGAGGGTCTGTCAGTGTGTGTGTATTGTCTTTGAGAATATGTATCAGAAGTACATGTATTCCAATACGCATTTCCCAGTGGAAAAACATTTCTATATATATATCTTTATATATATATATAGTATCTATAGTATCTGTTTCCTTTGCTTATAACATGCAAACAGCCACTTGGTGATCTGACAGCACAGAAGTACACCTTAAGGACGGGGCAGGGGAAGGAATCGTGTGCATGGGAGGGATTGAGCCTGATAGTAGCACCTATATACCCCTACTGTGACTGGTAAGATAATGGTATAAAAAAAGGAACAATGAGGCGAGGCTTTCATCATGTTGATGCTGTTCTAATATCTACTGCTCCCAGTACTCTTTCTCTACCCTGCTAGACCTGCTAGAATGTCTGTAATGAAGCTGATCATTTCACGCAGTTCAGACTTGACCCACTGCAACAGCATCACTCTTGTGACTTGTATTGATCTTTGCTTGCTGGTATCGTCTTCCCTTGTTCCATCATGATGGGTGCACAATAGAAAATGTCAGCAGTGTGCTTCACCTCCATTAATCCCTAAGTGGGTTTCCCCCTTCCAAGTCAACTGGCAACCTCTGTCCACTGCTGCTGAACCGCGCTACACTTATTTTTAAGTGGTTTTACTCGACCCAAGTTCATCAATTGTCACTAATAGCTGACACAAAGGAATAACTGCAAAAGCGGAATGCCTTGCTCATCTCTGCTGTAGTTTCTTCTATGTTGGAGCTACACAATACACTACAATTTTCTATTTCTTCTTCTTTTGCCTCTCCATCTTGTCTCATTATAGCCAGTACAGTTTAATCTCAGTTTTTGCTAACCTGTCAGATGTTCTTATAACGCAATGCGTAGAACCAATATGCGAGATGACAGAGCTGTCAACAATGAGCAATCAGGAGAGACACTCTGGCTGAAGTGCATGAGCTAGGTTGAAGTTGAACCTAACAAAAGATGTGTGTGTGTGTGTGTTTGTGTGGTATGTGCAGTATAATGTGCATGTGACTATGTGTGTATTCCGTGTGTAAATATGCAAATACACAAATGTCACTGTGTTACGACAGCACAGTTCATTGAAGGAGGGTGACTTGAAAGATGTCATCCAACCACGCTGATTTGAAGAAACGGGAGTAGAGGGAGGAAACAGGCAGCGGAAGCAAGCAAATCCTACAAGCACTGAAACAGTCGAGGCAGTGGTGCAGGGCTTGAAGAACATCTACTTAACATTCAAAGACAGAAGTAGAGGGATCAGGCTTGAACAGAAATGAAGCAACAAGCAACGTTCCTGCGTCCCAGCCATATAATACACTCACATATTAAGGATGGCACTGGCCTTCAGTCTTGGAGTTTTCTGAAAGGGGTGTGTATTCTTATAGTATATTTTTGTATGATGTGTATTTGTATATACTGTATGTCTGTGTGTATAAGAGAGGAAGAGAGAGCATGTGTACTTTCTTAGGTGTATGTGTGAGTAAGAGGCATAGAGAGTCAGTGTCTGTGTACAATAATGTGTGCATCAGGCTCGTGCTGATACACAGTGGGATTTAGACCCCATTGACCTATGCCGTATTCCAAGAGAAGAGGCAAGATCAGGGGCCGGTTGCGTCAGCTGCACATAGGTTCCCTAGTTACTTAGTTATCAGAAGTAGCCAATTATCCCGATTCACGCTTTGCTAAAACACAAGCGGTAGCACCACAAAAATCTGTTAAGTAACAACTAAATAGTTAAGCAAGCAGTAAAGCAGGTGCAAATGATACGAAGTCACACAATTGCACTCACTAACAATAAAGCAGGATTTTTTTTTCATTTTTTGCACAGTGTTTTTTTTTTTTTCTTATTTAGTAAATTCATGCCATTTTGCAACTTAAAGGACTTAACAATTTTGGATGTTTTCCCCCATTTTCTACAAATTGGAAAATATTGATTACAATTTTCCTGTAGATTTTATATATTTTTCTTTTTCAGGCTGAATCCGGTTCCCATTCAATTCCAATTCCAACGTGAAAACTCAACATGGTGAGAATTGCTTGACATACGTAATCCATCATGCCTGTGTTTAGTTTCACCAATATTAAGTTATTGTGCCAATGCAGTGCAGTTTCCCAATGTGCACTTCAGCTTCATTACCATGTAATGAAACCGCAACTTATACAACAATTAAACGGACGCTGAACTCCGCTTTGATGAATTTCTAAATCCGAAAAAGTGTAAGCTAATCAATTTTTGTGTAAAAACAATGGCTGCCTGAAAGGTGGGAAAAAACCCACAATGGTCTCTTGACGTAAAGTATACAAGATATATGTAAAATAGCCTACAACATGCCAAAACTAGTACTGTCCTTTAAGTCAAATATGGATTCTATTTACCAATCGTAATTTTTATGCCAATCTAGTCAACTACAAATCCATGTGGTTTGTACCCATCAGCAAAGTAATGCTATTACTGATTGGCTACTCATCTGAAATCTTAATATTTTAATAAGCTACAGCTGTAGAATTCCCCCCCTTACTACTCATGGTACAATCAAATTTAGTAACTTGCAAATTGCAAATTAACTAGCAGTTATGAAGCCATTACTTTACACCCTAATCTGGGAACAAACTTGCGCATAGTTGGTGCAACCCAGTCCAGGTCCTCAGCCTCTGCAATGTGCTATGTTACACTGAAACAGAGCTATTTATTAGAGCGTGGTCCTGCTTGTCTCAGTCACCTCATTTTCGTAAAGGTGATAATCTCATGGTACATATACTGTATGTTGTTACTTTTTCATTTTTCATTTTTTTATATAAAAGACCACATTTTCTGAATTTCTACAAGGCCTCCATAATACTGAAAACAAAAGCCTCTGTTTAATTTTTTTAGTTTGGCTTCTGCTTCACCTCCAACTAGGTGAGCCAAAAAGGGAGGGGGGCTGCATAAAGACAGAGATGCCAACACAGGCAGCCTCAGCTGACAATGGTCAGATACAGATAGTACACCTTTTCAGGTGTTTTTGTTTTTAGTATACAAACACAGAAAGGCTAATCTAATCCAATAAAATCCTTTGTTATAATTTGGTCCAGCCTTTAGATGAAGTCTGTCTACTAAGAACATTTGTTTACCATAAACCTTAGACTTTAATAGGCCAAAGTTATGGGCCAAATGAGGTTTGCATTATGTGGGGAGCCAGGCTTGGTCTAATGAGGGTTTGGCCACTGTACAATGTCTATGCAAATATGGTGCAACCAGGCTCCCTCAGTTCTACAATATGCATTTGGCTTTTTTTCTGGCTCTGTAATTTGGATGGTAAATTGTTGGTAGCTCTGTTTTCAAGTCACCCCTTCTGCTTTATTCTTCCCCATCATCCTTTCCTTTCTCCTTCTTGTCCTTCTTGTCCTTCTTCTTCTTCTTCTTCTTCTTGGCCTCCTCCTTCTTGCCAAAGCTTATGAAGTCACCTTTGTCGTCCACAGGGCCAGCGTCATGGCGAATAGAAATGATGGCTGGGGATCCGGGGATGATGAAGGCTTCAGGAGGAATCTCTCCGGGCTTCAGGGGTTGAGGGGGGCCGTAGCCTTGTCCGGCACCGTATCTGAAGTGCCAGCTGTTGCTGTTGACTCCAGCGCCCACTGGGGGTGATAGCTCTCCACCACCCTCTCCATCTACATGGGTGTGATGAAAAAATAAAAAATAAATCATGTCAAATCTGGCTGCTCATTACCTATATTCAATCATCACTGTAACCACAGTGCTAGTTAAAGTTAAAGATATACTGTAGGTCCGTATATTGGAAAGCAGGTTTATTCGCTGAGTTAGATGACGAAATCAACACCATTCTCACGTGTGTATGGTAAAATATGAAGCTACAGCCTGCAGTTGGTTAGCGTTGTTTAGTACAAAGACTGAAAGCAGGGGCAATGTCTAGCATGGCTCTGTCCAAAGGTAACAAAAGCAACCTTTCAGCAAGGTCACTAACTTCTGTGTTGTCAGCTTATGATTTTAAGTGTATGTTTGTTTTTTGCGTTTTTGTTTTTTTAATTTTGTCTGTAGACCATATTTTAATGTTCTTATAACATCAGCCTGCCAGGGACTTCAGATGAAAATTAGTCTGTATGGCTAAATCTGGCTCATTTACATTTGGGCATTGTCCTTATGTAAATAGGCAACGAGCAGAGACCCTACCTTGAAGTATCAATTCTATAGTAACTCTTTACACATATTTTGTATTATGTTGATTTGCTTCCAAGTGGTAGAAGGAGCAAAGTCTGTTCAGACCAGGACTTCACAGAGGTAGATCCCCTTCTATTAGCTTACTCATTGTGAAGTATGTTTTAATATGTCCTGATTGTCATGAGTTGTTTCATACTTAGACTGGTCTTTGAGACGTTCATTAAATCTGACATACAAGGAATAATCTAAATCAAGCAAAAGCGAGCAGAGCAATAGCCTGACAATGGTGTGATAGCCACAGCGAGTAGATTTTTCAGGACAGAAATTCAGCCGACTGGACTGGACTGGAGTAACCTTTAAACCACAGGGGTGTATAACTTGGCAATGTGATTTGTATTTGTATTTGGATGATGGCAGCAGCTTAATCCTACTCTTAACTTTAGTGCTCAAGCATGGATGTGACAGAAAGGAAACCAGATTGAAATTCATCAAAAAGGTACATCAATACATAGAGAAACGGTTATTTAAAGTGGAAATAAGACATAGCTATTAAGGTCAAAAGGTTAAAGATGCTGGAATGAAATGGATGAGCTAAGGAGAGAGAGAGAGAGAGAGAGGGAAAGCTGGGGATGGGTGGGTTTTGCAGACACGGTGCTCTCACACCAGTTCCCTCTGCACTGACCTACTTTCAGCCTGGATTTTATTTTGATCAAACACAGGCCCTTGCAAAAAGATTCTGTTTGATTTTTCTTTGTAGGCTATTTATGACATTGCTGAAACGCTGAAATGGTTTCACCCACTGTCCCACTGGGAAGTACACTATTTTAAAAAATACACACTGTCTGTTACAGCACAGTGTCCCACTCAGTCCCATCGAGTATGAGAATTAATACGAGACTATAATAAGAGCACATGTAATGGACACTAACGCACTGCTCAATGGACAGCTCTATGTTGTTGCCCTGTTTAACCACTCAGCAAAGAGCACACAAACAGTACTGGACACCTTTCACATAGAGCCATTGTATTTTATTGAGTTATATTAACTAATGCGTATATTGTGCTGTGAAGGATTTATTTTAATAATAAAATAAATAGGAGAGGTCAGATATTGTGGCTTTTAACCTACAGTAGCAGCAACATAACATTGTTACAGGAAGATACGAACACAGACACACATAAATAATTTGTTTTCTACCTGCAAAAATAGACATATTCATTTTTAAGTTACATTAAATAATCAGCATGTGAAGAACCAGGATCGCATATACATCATTTCAAACTATGGCTGCTGAACAAAATCCAGATTTAGCTAAGCTTTGTTTTTTGCAGTTTTGTTTCATGTTAAACAATTTTTTCATAACATTTGGATAGCCAATTGCAGCTAATTGAGCTACCTAATTTAGCTCGTTTAATGGCTATTCAGTGTCAGATCATCTTACCATTAGTGGAGTTAGTGCTTTAATACTGCAATGCTAGTCTGAGTATTATGACATTTGATGGTATGGTCTGTCTGTTTATATTTAATCTGGGTATTAAACCCAGGAAGAGGAGCCCTAAATCCCATTGAATTGCCCTCAGTGGTTAGGCAAGGAAGATTGCTTCTCATGTGGAGGAGGACAAACGTGCTGAAAATAAACTGAAAAGACAGTCGTGAGTTAAAGGAGATGTGTAAAATGCTGTGAGGCAGAATGTGGATGAGCTTATTGAACCAGTAATGCAGTGCATTGTATTGCTGTACACGATGCACCTCCATTTTATACAATTGAAAAACCATTTCCTGTAACCTGATGCTACAGTGCTGTATAAAGGAAGGTGATTTGATGCTCAGTCATAATAGTTTGGAAATACTTTATTTAGACGGCCTTGTATTGATAGTTGACTAAATACCTACATCTTTTTTCCACATTTTACATTTCATTTTTACAGGTTAGTGTATATAACCCTGTCATTTTAAACCATTAAACCCAATGCAAGGCAGGCATTGAATACCTGCAGACTACTTTTCACTATAAGTTAACTTTGTAGTGACATGTTACACATTGCGAGCTACATAGTGCTAGAGGGAAACCATGAGGTCACTAAAAGAACATTCCAGTATATTTGAGCCTGGTGTAAATTATAAAAATGTGGCTGTTGTGACTCTATGGATCCTGCTAACGCTACCACCTCCGTTGTAGAGATTAGAGGAAATCAGGACTCGTGCAAAACAATTTCTTATGTGGCATGCTGCACGAGCCTCCTAAAGCACTGATTTTTTACATGAATGATTTGAAACAGGTGTCTCCGAGTCCAAAGCAATTCAGAAAGTAGCTCCCTGGACAACATGTCCTCATACCTATATGGAAAATAGGTTGAATTTCACCCCAAAACGAAATGTATGACCATAGGAAATTACAAGTCCAGCAGCAGTCTTAAGTATGTTACGTAAGTTATGCGAAGTTTAACACGTGGTTAATGTTGTTTGGTCAGATTTAGGCAATGCAACGTAAACTTGCCCAAAATAGAAAATGTTCATCGTCTGGGAAGTATGAATGCACTCACTAAATTTGAATTGATAAAGCCTGATGGAAGTGCTAGAGGAAAGCACATGGGTTTCACTGAAACATCAGGATTCATCCTCTCTGGCTAATTAGCTCAAGAATTTATAGAAAAACATTTCTGACATATCTTGATTTGATTTAAGTGTGTGGATAATATGTTAAACTATATTGGGTACTGGGTCATCTAATGGTTTTGGCCAGACCATTATAAGTAGGCTACCACATACTTAATTGAGTACTGGACAAGTTATGATGGCAGAATAAACAAGACTTAAGATACAGTGAAACTTGTGCTGTTTAAAACTGTTCCTAACTCTCTAAAGCTTACTAAGCGAGTAAGACATTTATGCAAGATTACTGTAGTAAAGCTTTAAACTGGACTATTATAATTGTGTTCCTGAAAATTGTACACTATCATGGCAGTACAAATTTTGTGTTATGTACCCGTGACAGGTCTAGGGCAGTTCATTTCCCTATGTGTGACCAACTGAGCAAAAATGTTAAGTGGCTGTGTAGCATCTAATCAAGTAAATGTTGTCTCGTGTCTTGGGACATCCCAGGGCTTTCTGCACTTGCTGTGACAAATCAAAAACCCTTGACACTGTCCCAGGTGGTAATCTGAGATATTCCTGTCTGTGTGTGCGTGAAAAAGCTCGAATGAGTCGGTACAACTATGAAGAGCTTTGCTTCCCCTGTGCTGCTGTTTGTCTAACATCAGAGGATTATTTGCAACTCTGCCATTGCTTCATATTAGCCTATATATCCCAGCAAACACGCGTCTGAAACGGATTATGGTGTAACTGCCAGTAAGCAGGTCAGCACAGCTCCTTGTGAGGAGGCTGCCATTAAACCTGATGTAGATATGTGACTGTTGGAAGCCTCATTTCGTGTAACCTCATGTCCTACATTTAAATTTAGCTATGTTATTTCCTGTCTAGTCCAAGACATTCCATCTAAAATGAATCCCTCTGGTGGTTTGCAGCACACACACAAATGTGACAGTCGTGTAGTGCCTGTGTAAATGCGGTACATCACATGTATTCTGCATGAGACACCTCTACCTAAAACAGTCTTGCCTACATTATTTCCTCTCAATTGCTGCGCACCCTCTTTTTCTTCCTAATACCTGCCCTTGCTGGGTCCCCTTCCCTTTCTCACTCCTTCCCTTTTTTTTTCTCCTGTCTCTAAATCTTCCATTCAGCGATATGACCGGTTGCCATGGAAACTGCCTGCTGATGGAGGGTGCGGCTGCTGCAGCAATCTCTCAGTTAGACAGTGTTGCCAGGCAACAGGTCACATGGCGTTCCCTAGCAACAACACTACTGCAGGAACCTGCCAATCCTCTTAACCTTTCTCTTTCTCCATCCCCCCACACCTCGCTTTTTATCCTCCATCCCCCTGTGTGTCTCCTCCGCTCTTCCTCTCCAAAATTGCTTTTAATGTTACAGGATCTCTCTTTTTTTCATGGTACTCTCCCATTGCTGATAATAGCTTCTCTCCCCCTCTGGCGTTAGACAAATGTCTCCTCATCTGCGGGGTCACTTACATAAACACAGTTTTGAGGGTGCTGCATTTAGATGCATCACAGCATATCAGACAACTTCATCATGATAACAGTTCACTGCAGACATGAAATATGTCACAAAACAAGGCTCCACCTCTTGATGCATAGTAAAGAGGATCAACCTGCAATCCAGTACATGTCTATGCTTTGGCAGTGAGTCACTCCTGACAAATTATTTCCGAATGCAACAATGCACCCCTAATAGCTCTGCAGTATGCTGTGCACTCTGCTTTAAGACAGTATTCTTTACATGAAAGAGGCAGCTTTCCCTCTGCTCCAAAGAAAATACACATCTTTGCAGCACACTGGCACAGGGATGCTGGGAAGTGGTACAGTTTGTATCTCAAACAATTTCCCAGCTCTCTTTTGCACAGAGAGAAATGCTGACAGACAGTAAGACATATCCTGTCACTGACTCGTCGAGTGATTGACTGCGATGTTACCCTTCACCCTCAAGTCTCTGCCTACAGTGTGTGCTAATTCCTGCTGCTAGACAGAAAATCAATGAATGGAAGATCAGCTAAACGCCGAAGGGAACAGCTCACAATGTTCCAAACACTGTTTCAAAATCAAAGTTATAAGTTATCCAGTCAACTGATAGGAGCTGCACACAATGTATATTTGTGCTTTTCTACATACAGTAGTACTCCCAAATTTCAGTCATTAGCTCTGAGCCAGTGTTTCTGCGAATGATGAAGCGCGGGTCCTTTTATTTTTACTGTTGCCACACATTTTCAATGTTGCCACCCACTCAGGACAATTCATGTCTTTTTAAAAACATTTGCCTTTTTCAGTTAGTAGCTCTCTGTGCTGCCAGCTGCTTTTATGGGAGGATACAGTTGTTTATCTGTGGCTCTGCATAAGGGCCCCAGGCATTTGGCACCTCAGCTCAGCTCTGTACATACATAGCACTGGAATTCAAGATCATGTAGATTTTCAAAGGACAAGTCTGTACAAACCCCACTTTACTTTATTATCTAAACCAAAGTAAAAACAAAGATGAATTCAACGTATTGGATAATAGAATTGAATGCCATGGATATATTGTAATGTGTGATTGTGCATTTAGGTGTGGTGACCTTTGGCTAAACTAAAATCTCTGCAACTGTCTCACCACTCGAAAGAGGATATAACATGTTGACTGATGAGCTTTAGCGGTGTTGGTAGTCCGGCTGTTTCCCCCTGCTCCCTGTCTTTATGCTAAGCTAAGCTAACTCATGGCCATTCGTGGCTCTAGCTTCATCTTTAGAGTACAGACATGAGAATTGAAATGATGATCTCATCTAACCCTCAGCACAAAAATGAACAAGCATATTTCCCAAAATGTCAAACTATTCCTTTAACCTACCATAACCAGTATGAATGAGATACAAATCGATGGAAACGTAACGTAAAAAAATCAGCATTTCAATTAGCCAAAATATTCCTATTATAGTCATATCCTCTTCCTTCTGAGCTTAAAATCTGTCTAAACTTATTTCTAGCATAATTTGTAGTTTGGAGCACTAGTGAGGAGCATACAGCATCTAAGAAACATTCATACTCAACTCATTCATTGTTGCCATTGAGTAGCTATATGGTAATAGCTAACATGATAGTTTTAACCTATTGGCAATAGTAGGTGATGCCCTTCTGTCTAACGGTCTAATCATTTATTTTTGACTCCAGTATATACTAATAGCTTCCACAGTCTATTATATTTATGAACCCTAGTGTTGATTCTCTTCACTGGCCAGCAATTAGCTACATCAGGAGACAGTAACACGAGTCACAAGTGCAGCGACAAGGACAACAACACTTGCTGGCTTCCAACCCAGTATGTTTTTGGCACACACAACCAGGGTACCAGAGGTTCAAATCCCAGGTGCCTCTGGTTGTGGGCGGGAACCTTACCCTTATAATACCCTAACTTTGACTACTATATTGGAGAATATTCTATATTGCAGTTATAAAACAATTATTTAGAAGCTTAAGCATGTCTTTCAACAAATAGATTGGGGTTACATATGACATAAAAATATTTTAGTACACCTGACTTGAACATTTTGTCTTTGATAGATTTTGCAGCAAAGATTAATGAAATCTTGTAAAGTGGGCAAAGTCAGTTACCTTTCAAAATCAGTTACCTTTCACTCTTATCAGTTTTCTGTTACCATTGCCCCAAAGGAGCTGACACTGAAGGTGCTTTTTCACTTTGTCCTGACTGCTGGACATCGACTCACCTGCAGCGCTGGACACAGTGGGCCAGTTCTGGACCAGCATTCCCTGTGCTCCCTGCATCACAGAAGATTCCTCCATGTGGACCGAACTGCAAGGCAGAACACATTCAGTAAACTCAGTGAGACACATTGCATCAAAATATGAATTCAACATTGGCATGAATGAAACACTGACTCTATAATTAGGGCCTTGATCTCTAGCTATTAATTATATTTTGCTAAAAGAACTTTGTTTTGCTTGATGGTGTAGATATTCCCAAAACCTCCACTGAAATGGTAATTCAACCCCAGAAAATTGCTTACAGTGTCAAAATTTCAAGCAGCATTAATCACTGTTTTAGGCCTCAACAGCATTAATAGTTGCCTATTTGCCTGAGGCAACCAGCTTTGGACTACTGTCACCCATTTCTTGTGGTCTTGTTTCCCATAACCACTTTCCCCTTTTTGTGTATTTTAAAAAGAGAAAACATCACATCCTTCATGTAGAATCTTGTGAATGCTGTGCTTTTCCTACTGGGACATGTCTAAATGTTTTACAAGAAAAAGGCCAAACTGTCAAACTTCAGAATAAGAATGCATGAAATCCGCATATCGTTTCAAAGCATTTCTTCATTGTTAGCTACATTTTAAACAAATACATACAAACACATTTTTTGTTTACTTTGGCAATCAAAAGCTGATGACCGGTTGCCTGGCTATCATTTCTAACATCTACTTGTCAAACCTTTTCATTTAAAAAATGACTCAAACCGAAGAATCGATTATCAAAATAGTTGCTGATTAATTTAATAGCATACAACTAAACGATTATTCGATTAATAGCTGCAACTCTAATTCTCAGATACTTGATGGCTTTCACTTGGTGAAATGCATCCATGTGGTGTGTCATGTGTAATCTGACCCCCGATGTTATGGCTGCTGTGGACCAAGATGAAGAACCACTAAAGCAATATAACGAATCATCTGGCATATGAGTAATGGCAGTAGATGTATACATCACCCCAGCTGATCTAATCAAGTTTCTGCCAAGTTTTCCAAATCGTCTTCATCTCCCTATCAATTTACTAGTGGTGGCCAATCTCGTATACTGGTATTGAGGGGACTGGTTCTGAGATATATTTCAATTGTTTATTTAATTTAATTGTGAAGATCAAAACTGACAACTAATGAAAATCCCAAATTCAGTATCTCCGAAAATTAGAATATTACTTACAATACCAATACAAAAAAAAAGGACTTTTAGAAATGTTGGCCAACTGAAAAGTATGAACATGAAAAGTATGAGCATGTACAGCACTCAATACTTAGTTGGGGCTCCTTTTGCCTGAATTACTGCAGCAATGCGGTGTGGCATGGAGTCCATCAGTCTGTGGCACTGCTCTGTTATGAGAGCCCAGGTTGCTCTGATAGTGGCCTTCAGCTCTTCTGCATTGTTGGGTCTGGCGTATCGCATCTTCCTCTTCACAATACCCCATAGATTTTCTATAGGGTTAAGGTCAGGCGAGTTTGCTGGCCAATTAAGAACAGGGATACCATGGTCCTTAAACCAGGTACTGGTAGCTTTGGCACTGTGTGCAGGTGCCAAGTCCTGTTGGAAAATGAAATCTGCATCTCCATAAAGTTGGTCAGCAGCAGGAAGCATGAAGTGCTCTGAAACTTCCTGGTAGACGGCTGGGCTGATCTTGGACCTCAGAAACACAGTGGACCAACACACACAGAGCACTGTGAACAGCCAGACTCTTTAGCAATGACCTTTTGTGTCTTGCCCTCCTTGTGCAAGGTGTCAATGGTTGTCTTTTGGACAGCTGTCAAGTCAGCAGTCTTCCCCATCATTGTGTAGCCTACAGAACTAGACTGAGAGACCATTTAAAGGCCTTTGCAGGTGTTTTGAGTTAATTAGCTGATTAGAGTGTGGCACCAGGTGTCTTCAATATTGAACCTTTTCACAATATTCTAATTTTCTGAGATACTGATTTGGGGGTTTTCATTAGTTGTCAGTTGTAATCATCAAAATTAAAAGGAATGAACACTTTACATATATCAGTCTGTGTGGAATGAATGTATGCATTATACAAGTTTCACTTTTTGAATTAAATTACTGAAATAAATCAACTTTTTGATAATTCTAATTATATGACCAGCACCTGTATACATTTAGACATTTTTCGATACGTTGTTGTCAGTGGACTGGTTGGAAGCGAGGAAAAGAAGACAAAATTATAAATATAAGCAACATATGTCTCGCTCAAAACCATGGTATGGTGCAGGTTCAGTTTTTTGAAAGAACCACATCAGGCATCAAATACAGCATTCATCTATATGGCAAGCAACAAATACACAATACATATGTATGTGTGTTTTAATGCACCTCTTTTGTTGTTTTTTCATATGTCAACATACTTAAAATGACATTTATTTACATATTTAATTGAGATACATAACATATTTAATATCATTAATGGCATGCTGTAAGTATTTGCAGCTTATCTTGCTACATAGTAATATTTTAATAATTATATGTATAAAAAGTAGGACACTAACACACCCAAATAAAAAAGGTTTTTTTTTAACTCACACCACAAGGATCTCAGGATGGCACCAAAGTGGAGGTCTTGACATCTCAGATGGTTTTCTTTTTTTTCTTTTTCAATAGAAGTGATAGCCCGGAGGGTCTATTTTTCTAAGCTCTACTCTTCTGTTTAGCTGGTGCGTATGTATCGCACTGAGACATAGCAATGTATAAACAACTACTTTCACTGTTAAGGTTGACTGTCAATTAGCCACAAAAGAAATTTAAAAATTTATAATTCTCAGTATATAATAGCCTGCTTCTGTCCAAAGGTCAAAAAATATGAGACTTCCTGAAGTCTTGTTGTCACAGTGAAGTTGTCGGGCAACCAGTAGAGGCTAATTTCAACAGCTCAGTTTTTGAATGGCTTAAACAAAAGAAATAAAACACGTTCAAATGAGCTATATTGAGGTGCTGGAAGGTGTATTTTGTCAGCTGTTTCCCTCTTTTTCCAGCCTTTATACTCAGCTAAAATAACTGGCTGGTTGCTGTAACTTAACTGTGAGTGGTACAGTGTCAATCTTCTCATCTAATTCTGCCAAGAAAGTTAATAAGCACATTCCTTTAATAAGGTGAATACTGGTTGTATACATTTGTTTTTGTAAATATTGCAATGCTTTACAAAAGCAAAAGGAAACAGAAGATAGCTGTTTGAATCAGGGCAGTCAGGAATCACCATAATCTTTGCAAATACCAATGAACATCCCAAGAGTTCCGTCAGAAACATTACAGTACTTGGGAAATATGACCTATAAAAATGTGTCTTTAAATGTATAAACTCTTATAATGCTGTAATAAACATACAAAGCATGCAGTTTCCAACCTAGGCTGAGATGTTTCCCCCCATACATTCATAATGAATAATAGAACTTTCTGTATAAGAGGACCCAGGCTGACTGGGGCCTCTGCAATGCAGCACACCCAGCATCTATCTCAAACTTCAACACACTTGTTATGTTGAATTGGGATTTGTCATGAATATAAAATGGCCATGTGCATTCTGAGCAGTGTGGGCTTTTAAGCTTTTACATAAGCAAAGGTGCTGGTTTAATGTGGGAGAATATGACACCAACAGGGATGGCTGGTGTTTTCTACACTCACTGACTACACCAGGAATGTGGGTCAGTAATGGTTTGTGCTTCATGCTGTGTGTGGTGTGATACATTACAGCACGCGTGTGTTGGGGTTAAGAGTTAATATGAGCCTCTCTGTGTCTATGTGTTACAGACACTGCCATTTCAGATATGGCAGCGGCAAATTGCAATGATGATTCATGTTAATTCATGTCATGTTACAGTGACACACATTATGATACCCTGCACACCACAGAAATGAATACTAATATCCAATTAAATCAAACTTAGACAGAACACAACTGAGCAGTTAGCATTGCTAACTGTTTGAAATTATGAAAATTCTGTACAAATGATATCTGGAGGTAAAACTCTTTAGTCCCTGGTGTTCCTGCTTTCATCACATGGCATTACAAAAGCACTTTATTACATGGTTTAATACAACTTTTGTCACCTAAGATGCAAAAAATGACCATTTTATACCATTATTGTTGAATCCGTTTAATTTCAGTATTCCCTATTTTGTCAGTAGGTAGCTAATGAGAATGCCTACATGTATAACACTTCTCTACCCAGACAAGGGACTCTAAAATACTTCACTCTGTTTTGTAGTGTAGTTTAATATTACCATAGATAATCTTTTAACCCAAATCTCAGAAACCTGCTTATTAATGTTGGGAGAAACCTGAACCCATTTGTCCAAAAATGCTTCTAACAACCTAATTATTTGTTGTTTCAGTGTAACAATTATTGCACATTAAGCATATTGTGTAACCATATCTACTGTATCTATTGATCTTTAGATCAATCTATTGTTGGGATTTGGTCAAGCTAACCTTCTGAATCTGGATAAACAGAGTGCATGCAAGCACACCAAGTGAATTAACAAATATCACTGGGGTCCAAAGTGTCTCAATTGTCTGTTTTCACAAGTTCTTCCCTCATCTCTGGACAAAAATGTCTAAATACACATAGAAAGGGTCGTTGTACGTGCAGACACAATGCATGTGCGCATCTGATAATCTGAGAAAGGTCATAGTAAGCTCATTTGTCCTTCACGTAACAGGGGGAAGCGACGCTCAGAATGTAGATGACCTATATAGTATTACACTGCAGAGGAGGAGTGCTATGCTTCCACTTATGGGAGCTGTACAAAGCTTTTCCCAAAGCAAGAGGATGGGGTTGAGGTTGAAACATGCTCTGGGGACACTACTGGTCATTTCTGATAATGGCACATTCTGATCTGCAGTGTTATGTTGCAGTGTCTTTTTTTTAATAGAGGTCATTTTGAGGAGCAGGTCTGATGCGTCAATAAATATTTTGCTTAGAGATACCTTACATTGCAGCTGTGGTAAAGAGCATTGTGAAAGGCTACTGTAGCAGCAGAACAGACTGGGTGTAGACAGTATGAGCAGGACAAATAGGTGTAACTTCTTCTAGATGATCACAAGTTGCAAAACAGTTAAAGATGCAAAGTGCTTACCTCTGCACCCCTGCCCTCAAAGATGCAGAATATCGCCAGTCAGCATTCGGGGCTTTTGGCTGAGCGAGCAAGAGGTAGAGCGAAAGAGAGAGAGAGAGAGAGAGAGAGAGAGAGAGAGAGAGAGAGAGGAGGGGAAGAAAGAGAAGAGAAAGGGGGGGAAGAGAGAGTTTAGTTTGATCTCATACAGTGCAGAGCCAGGCAGGGCCACGGTCTCATCAATTAATCATGATACACATCCCAGCTCTTGACATGATAGGAACACTGCAGTTGTGTCCCCATTGCAAGCACACACACACACACACACACACACACACACACACACACACACACACAGGCACACATATTGATATGCACACACAGAGACACTGAAGTACTTTAAAAAGGGTGGTGACTGAAAGCCATGTTGATGACTCTTTGGACAGTCCCACACACCATGTCTCTATAAATGTGAGAGCTGGGAGAGTTATGTCCTTTCCCTGACTGCTGGGGTGTTTGTATAGGCTGATGTGTGTCACTGAGGTAAATCTCTCTGCTCCTAGTGAACCTGGTGCTGAGTGCCTGAAACTCCCAGCAGTCCTCTGGTTAAATTATTGGCTTTAAAAACCAATAAGCAGGAGCCATCATCACCATGGCAACTACATCCTATACTCTGGGTCTGTTTTTGCTCAGGAATGTGTAGGAATTAGTCTAAGACAAGGTGTGGGATAAATTATAAATAATATATCACAAATGATCATTTCATAGTTTCGAAGTGATTGTACCTTCCATTTTCTTGCTTTGGAGATTTACTTGATTCTGATTCAGATGAATGGATATCTCCAAAGCCTTGCTTGTTATCAAATTGAACTAAAAACCTCATAAATAATATGATATTGTGATGTTTCCAAGAACACATACACAAAAAACTGGTGAAATTATAACAAACTGCCAGGACAAATGCTTTTCATTTGCCTGTGATGATCGCCACATTTTCCTGATGGTTGTGCCTTTAAGTTCGAAGAACCATATGAATCTTAGGGTGAAAAAAATCATATTTTAATGAGCTAATCTTTCATGGCCATTATTTATGCCTGACTCTCATTATTATTTTCCTGTGAGTAGGTACTGTTCACATGCACTGTAACAAGTGAATGTGAACATCTGTGTTACAGCTAATGCTAAAATCTGTCAGCATCATGTGGGATTTAGCATTGGACCTCAAGTGCACTGAATAAGAAAAGCTGTGTTTAAGACACAAACCCGCTCAGGCAGTAGCAAGTGTCCCAGATAAAGATGGCACATTATGTTCCTCAGTTCAATTCAGAGGGGAGTATTTGTGCTGGTAGACCCAGCTTCTTTGAGTAAATCTAATTTGCAGGGCTGGGGAACAGAGCTGGAGGTTAATTTAATTTACACTGCTACACTAGTCTTGGTAAGAGATTTTCTTATAACTAAGGACCATTAATAATGGCATTTGATTGTGTATGTATCCAGATATAACATCTTAATCTTAGAAGCTTTGCCTCAACAATCTGACATTAAAAAATATATTATTCCAGTATTTGAACCACTGATCTCTCTAACCTCACTAGCTTAAAAGCAGAACATAGCTACGTTAGAAATATCTGCTAGAGTCAATACCATTAAATCTACGACTAAAGGGTATTTCAACATTTAAGGGCTACACAAATGGTTCATGTTTGGCAAGAAAGACGTTACAGGACTTCATACCAAGCAAATAGCAATATTTTGAATTGTTCTACATTAATAGTATTTCAGGTGTGACGTTTTTTTTCTGTTGCAATATTTCATATGGTCTAGCAAGTAAACACATTCATTCACACTCAAGTTCAGAAACTTGTATTTCTGAGCTGTTTCAT